GGCCTTTCTGTTTTCCACCACCGTCTTCTTCGCCGTTCCAACACCCTTTATTACTAAACCCGTTGACCTCTCTGATGACTGGCCCATCCGTTCGCACACAGTATAGGTAACAAAATCACATTGATTTCGAAAGAAATGGTCTGTAGCCCCTGAGTCGGCATACAGTTCGCTTTTCGTGTGGACTGTCTTGGAGGCGACCATTGCGTAGTGTTGGGTGGGGTCCCCGATCGCCATGGACGATGAGGAGTTAAGTATGATGGTGTCATCTTTCTTCCCTCTCCACCATGACGGATATTGACCTTCCTTTCCTCCACCTTTCCTGAAGCACTCGTCTTTCAAGTGACCCAGGCGTCCGCAATTATGGCATTTCTTATCGCTAGTTCCAGATCTCGCCAATTTAGCCGTAACCATTTGCTCGAGTTGTTCGATTCTCGACACCAGCGCAGCGTGGGTGGAAATAGCCGAGTGAGCTTGGGAGATGCGATCGCCTGCAACTACAGCATTAGGTCGGTTCTCGACACGGGAGTATTGGAAGGATATTTGTTGGATCACTGAGGCAGTAGTCGAGTATAGGGAAGCATTAGCCGTGATGTTTTGAATGATGTTGTCAAAAGCGTTTGTAGGGAATGCTGCAATCACAATATCTCGGAACTGAGAATCAGTGATAGAGTTCCCTGCCTCAAACTCATCCTTCCGGAGGGCACGAAGTTGGTTGAAGAATTCATCAATCGGAGTGGTTTCACGGAATGTCAGAGATCGTAGGTTACGCTCGGTAAGTACCTTGCGCATTCCATCCTTCTTTGCAAACTCATTTTCCAGAGTATCTAGAACTTCCTTGGCCGTTTTTATGTCGACTTCGGGCATCAAAGAGGGCAAGTCGTCAACATGCGACTCAATAATACCTTTAGCCCGGTCATTTCGAAATATCCATTCCTCTAGGGACGGCGTAAGCGAGAAAATCGCTGTAGATCTCGTCAATTCTGGATGAGTTTGGGCGGTAGGAATAGGAGTATCCGGGTCCGGAGAAGGGGTGGTCGAAGGGGGTGAAACGGTGATGATAGGGACAGGCTTATGGACAGTCCCATCAGTGTAACCCAGAAGGCCCTGAGTCTTGAGTGAGTTCACAATCCGTTGCTTGATGGGAGCCCAGCTGATTTTGACTCCTCCATCAAACTTAAGATCTGTCGAAACTTCTGGAATAGGAGGTGGTACAGCACCGTTACTAGCCATTATTTTTGAGTTTCAAGATGTTAGGATGAGGTGAACGGATATGTTTTCGTGTGAGCTTTGGTAGTGTAGCAAGGTAGTGATTTAGTCGGTGTAGATCAACAGCGGCGGGGCCTAATAACCTATCAAACAGTGTTAAACCTCAGCTAATGGTAAAAGCTCGTGTATATTGAATTACCTATCAAACAGTGTTAAACTAAGAATATAGTTAGAATAAGTGAATAAATAATACGGACTGAAACTGTACTCACCCTCAGCTAATGGTAAAAGCTGAGGGTGCTTCGATATCGAAACGTAGTATATAAGGTAGTTCAACTGATAAGTAGTATTGGAAATATATAGCCTTCAATGATGATAACGAACCGTAGGGATAAAATATCCATCGGTAGCGAAGGATAGAAACAGGAGAAAGGAAGATGAACGAATCGGAACGCTTTCGGAAGGCTGTCCTCAGCCGGATCTCATATCTTCAGCCCTGGGCCGAGGACCCTCCCCTCACTTGCTCAACACATTCCCTTTCTACCTAGTCTCTTCCTTATTGTCTTATTCTCTACCCTGCAGGTAGTACATGTATAGCTCTTAGTAGTTAGACTGGTGCTCCGCTCGATGCGCCGATCTGTAGGTATAAATACTGCCTGTACAATACTGTATTCCCTCAGTTTAATTATCAACTTAGATTATCCTCTCCAATGTAGATCACCCTAGATCTTCTTCTCTCATCCTTCAAGTCTTCAGGCTTGTTGTCTTGAAGCTCTCCTTACTCTAACCTCAGAACTTAGGTTCTCTGGTTTGCTCCCCATGGTCAGTGTTACCGCTGCTCTGACTTGGCTGCTCCTAGTTCTCTCCTTCTTTACTCTCGATTTCCGGGGACTAGCTATGTAACAGCAGTGTTGTTAATAGCTTCACTACTGTTCCATTCGGCCCTCTGCCCTTAGATACCTTGTGGCCTCTGGCATGGCTTCATGGTGTACATGATCTTAACAGTTTTCATCCCAATCTAATATTTTCTTTCAGGAATTCATCTAAAGCCTTCTGTTCTGGTGGACTAAGGGGATGAACGTTGCAATCAACTGGCTTAGAGCCTGGCATTAATTCTATAGGATGATCCCATGAATGTCTTTCTGGCATTTGGTCAAAATCTTTTTTAGTAGCATATCCAACAAGGTACGCAGTAGTGGCATCTGTAGTAGTAGTTTGTACTTTGGTATGACCTTGGTCAGAAAGGTATCCTTTCCAATTGAACCAGAAGATCCTTTCACCATTGACAAGCTTTTTCTTTGTACTATCATTCTTGGGTGATTCATATTGTGGCAAATACTCGCATTTGTCAGGACAATGTTCAAACGTTAACATAGATTCCTTTCAATCGATGCTGGGATTATGATAACGTAGCTAGTTTATGCCTAGGAAGATATCTGTTTTGCCTAAATTGGTAGCTGCCATAACTATCCATTTGGCATGATCATCTGTCACCATTTGGACTTGTACATAGCCTTCTATAGAACCATTTTTGTTCAGAGTGCCATTGGCATTATCGGTCAACATTTTGATTGGTAACTTCTTGACAGAGAGTTGGTGCTGTTCTACAAAATCCTTATTGATACAGGACTCTGTGGCTTCACTGTCTAGGAGGGCTTCCATTTCAATCTGCATACCATTGTCAATATTCTCAATAGTGGTTCGCAACTTTAGCTCACGTTTTCAGGTATTGCGTTATACAACCATTTTGAATCCTTACATGTATATGCTGTGCTTACCATAAACTATACAGTTCCAAGTAGATTACACACAACAGAGACTCCCAGGCTTCCTTGATTATTTCATTACCAACTGAGGTGAGCTCAACAGCGTATCCCAGCTTGATATATATAATAACTGTTGTCTATATATGGGCGTGGGAGGCGGGACAAGGGCCAACATACATTCTATGAGACATTTTTGTAAAGATCCTTATTTAAATGTTCGGCAATTTCTATCACGCTTTATCATTCTTAATTCCTCATCAATTACTGATCCACCTGATCTACCTTCTCCTTTTACTGGTTTCTGCCATGTTCCTTGTCCCTTAACTGTACAATATTACATTGTTGTTTCTCGCAGACCGGATTATGTATATAGCCAACCCTCCATGGTCTGGTCCCTTATCTTGACCTCTGAGTCATTATCTGCGACCAAGTATGTGTTTGCTTATTATTACCTATGATTACAGTACTTAATATATCTCTGTTATTATCTGGGACTAGGTTGCCTCTGTTCCATTTAGTTGCTTCCCCTTGCCATCTTGCTCAGCTGCTCCATTTCACTGCCTTACTTAGTCACTCCACTTTCCTGCTCCATAGTCATTCTGCCTCTACTGCTTCATGACAGGTCTATTTGCCTAACTGAAAATTGAAGAAGGTATGTCATGATTAAGTACCCCAAAATGAGATATACTCACATCAGAGAGATAGTTGCGAGCTGAGGAACCACAGCACAAAGAACCTTGCCAGAAGACAAAAAAATGTTGTAGTGAGTCTAGATTATACAACATAGGGTGGATGTTGAAGCTGCTCTGTGTATGTCAGGATAGGGTTGCTGTAGTATTTCTAGTTTCATATACACCATATAAAATTACAATAAATTGTACTATAGAGAGGTACATAGATTATTGCCAAACCTTTAGGTAAGGCCCCTTACAAAAATGTTTTGTCTGTTTTTGCTGAACCTTCAGGTAAGGCTCCTTACAAAAATGTTTTGTCTGTTTTTATAGGGGAAAGTTGGCCTTATCCACCAAATCTTGACCGATATAGACAAGTATGACTAAGCGAACTCATCAAGTCAAAGAAGTATAAACCAAGTTGGCATCTGCCCAATCAAATGCAATAGTAGAAATTGGCAGCAGAGCAGCTAAAGCAGTATTGCTTATGCAATTAATCAAAGGAACCTTAAGATATAAATGACTTGTACAGTGTAAGAGTTATTTGCCCCTTCATGGTTGTATTCATGTAATATTTTCAACTTGAGACAGGCAGAGTGCCAATTGATGGCTATTGATTGCTGCTGTTCCATAAGGATTATTCATGAACATGGTCACTCAACATACTCAACAGTCAACTATTGGGCCGCTGCCTTACAGGGCATTACAAAGTGCTATACTGTTTGTGTATACACACATCACTATACTCAGGAGATTGACCAATTATGTATATATTGGATATAGTAGTACTAAATGTTCGGCCCTTGCCGCTTGCGGCCTTACCCCCAGTCATATACCCTTGGTTGTTTTGAATCAATTAATGTGAGTTAGCTGGTACCCTACAATATGTTCACACCTTGTTTATGTTATAATTTACAGATTTCTACATGGATAATGCACTGCTAACTGAGAAAATGAAATTCGGAGTAATTTATGTATAGAAGAGGTATTGATAATAGATGGTAAGAAGAAAAGAAAGAGAAAATGTATATGATAGTACTATTGTTTGTTTTATCTTATTTTTTGCCCTGTTGCAGCAGGTAAGGAATTTTTGTTGTTTCTGTATATCTCACCTATTGGACACTTTATGATCCTTAGTCGTATTCTTATGACATAGAGAATTGTCTTCATCTACTATTCAATAGGTATCAGGTAGAATTCATACACAGACTATAAATATTATGAAAAGAACAATATTCAAACAGTTTATTGGTACATTTTTCCATCGGAGCCAAAATTCAATCTGATGTTGCTTTCCATTCCCTGTGAATTCATCAATTGTTTCATGTAAATATCAAGATGGATGTTGTCAGATTAGTTACTTTACTCTCTCAAGCCATTCTATCAATTTCACTCCATCTGTTTGCCAAGCTTCATCACCACTGAGAGCACAAACTTGAATATATCTCTCAACAAAGTTGTTGACAATAATATTTGGTATAACAGGTCGGAGGTCGTTTGTTTTTCTGCGACAGTTAGGACAGGTTTCTGCCCCCTAAAAAATGTCACTTATAACATAAATTTGAGTGTATGTTCTGATATGTGTCACCTTATCATATAGCCATTGATCTGCACAAGGCCCACAAATGGTATGACCACAAGGATTCAATAATTGTGCTGATATACTGTAAGAAGATTGATAACTTGTTGATTATTGCTTCAAGATTGAATACAACTCACTATATATCTTGACATCTGTAAAAGTTAGTAGGTGATAATGTTTTCCCATGAAAGAATAAGTTACTTACATTGGACAGATAAGATCCATTTCATATAGACTTGACAATGTTTGGTGTACTGTGTTGTTTTCTGTACATTTTGCATTGTTTAAAATAAATTGATCAATGTAGATTTGTGGATATAGAAGTTCAGTGTTTTGAGAGTCTATGTTGAGGAGATCCATTATGTATGTTGTAGCAGGACATGAAAACGTAATGGTACCTGTGGATAGTGATGCTATTTCATTTATTGTTTCAGTTGAAGAAACTGGTGAATTCCGGACAGGGAAAGGTGCTATCTCGATTGGATTATAGCTTAATGTGCTTTGAATGTTTTCCTCTTCGAAGTCATTATTATGATCATTGATATGATTATGTCGATCAAAGTAGCGGTTTCCGGTGGTTGCAAGTGATTCAGTTTCCATTGAATCATGTTGTAGTGTTTCGTTAGGTTCATCTTAGACAACGTTAGTACAAAATTATTAATCCAATGTTAATATTCTACTTGTGCGTTCATGAGACTGCGGTAGTTGTAGCTCACCATTTTCATTTCGTGGAGAAATTGCTGTAATTGAATGGATCAACATACAGCTGATCGAAGATTAATCTGATTTACCCGTAGGGTCTCCCGATTCTGTGACGTTGGAGATCATGACGAATTGGTTATGTATGGGACGGTGAATGTCATCCATGATGATGTATGTTGTCCAATAGATGGCGAAGTTGTTTTTTGGTACTTTATATATTGCTTGACATCGTGACCTCAACTAATAATGAAATGATCTGTAAATAGCAGTCCACGTTGTGGCGTTAGGTCAGTGATATCGAAGGAAGTGGTAGATCTTTTGATAAGAAGTCCGTTGACATCGTGAAGCCAAATTTGGCTGTTTGTTGTATTTTAGAAGTCTATCATACTGTATTGATTATTATATATGACGCCTATCGCTGATGGTATCGACGAGTCCGTACTTTAGATAGCCTGAGCTTTCAATGGCTCCATCAAGGCCGCTGAAGATTGTGTAATATGAAGGTGTAGATGTAGATTGCGTCGTCGCCGCCGCTGTTGTGGTGGGAGCGGCGGAGGTAGAACATTTGATAAGTGTTTTTGTCGCACTCTTTTTGATGGGTGGACATTTGATAGCATTCGCACTTTGAGCAAGGTTTGCGCATAAGTCCTTCAAACGGAAAAAAATAAAATATTAGTATGACATCTAATGAACAGTCAGTAGATAGTTCACCATGACTCTCAGCCATGGAAGACCGTCTGCCGAAGCTGGATCGTCGTCAAGGTACCACCCAGGACGAGAACCGAAAGATTTGGGTGGTATAGGCGCGCCGTGATTGTTCAACGCAGAAAGAGAGAAGACGATAGCCTCAGTGGATTCAGGGTCTTGATGAATGCCCAACGGAGTGTGGTATCTTACTAGAGAGGTGGATGCGAGCGCTGCAACAACCAGAGAAGATCGCATTGCGGAAGGACCGAAAGAGGAGGGAGACGCCTTTTCTGTGGTGGATCGGGTTGTAGGACTCAGGGAGAATGAGAAATGGGACGAAGAAGTCCATGGTCTTATACGCAAGCTTCAGGGGTATTCAGGTAAAGGTAACAGGGCAAGAAGGGTAAGTATTGGAAACGCGAACAACAAAATCAAGAGTGGACGGTCCGACGGCGGACAAGATCGTTGGTGATCGGGCCTCGGTCAGGCCACATGCGCAGGACGCCCCTTGAAAACGAACAAACAAACAACGATGTCAACTACAAGTACGAACGTCGCATGCACAATCCAGCTCAAAGCACTTGAGAGCACTAGTGCGAGAGAATGACCTTGCTATGTGAAGCATTTCAGCCGAAAGAAGAGCCTTGGTCCAGGGAAAATTGGACGAGTACTAAGGCGGGTTTGCGATCAGGAGTAAATTCCTCGCCCACTCAGGGCCATAAGACGATCGTAGGGCGGAGAACAGTCCCGGGATTGGGCACTTGAGCGGATGCTAACAGTTGAATGAACGAAGAAAAACTTGTTCACAGCTGCTCTGAACAATAGAATCCTGATTAAAGTTGAGTTTTTTTTCGTACAAGGCATCATTCATTGGTGACTGAGCATACTTGAGTTTTGTTGCTTGAAGGATTGTTGCAAAAGACGGCTTCAGCATCTATTGTTCAAAGATATCGTGGATACCTCCTTGAAAGAGGTCAATTTTACTAACAGAGACCCAGAGAGGAATACACAATGAGTTCTCGATACAGAGACTACAAACAGTATCTGATGTGTAAATGAAAAGTCTCAAAGGCTAGCTAATGCGCTTCTCCCTTTATCGATCTGCAATCGTCGCTTTAGACTAAATGTATACTTGTTATACGTGGTGTTAAGTCGTCGCACATTTCATCGTCATCTTTATCCTTCAACGTATCGATCAGAATTGCAAGGTCTGCATCGGAATAGGGTTCGGTCGTTCGAATACTCCCTGGAGATGGAAATCGTGAAAGAACAAAGGATAAGGAATTAAAATGTTCAAGTCCTCGACAATTGTCGATGAATCCACGATGGAAGAATTGTCCTGCTGCTTCAGCTTCGAGTAATGCGAAGCGCGGCATCACTGGTATCTGATATCTGTCAATAGCGATGGGATTATGACGACCACAAATATCTGGTTGTTGGTGGATACGGGATGTGATAGCGTGTATCGTTATGAATTGGTCAATTGTCGGGTTTAGAGTATCGAGCTCAGTTCCAAGCTTGATTCGAATCTGTTCAACTGTATCTGTGTCAGGTTCTGCACAGATATCTACTACGTGACCCCAGTATCCTCTCCATTTACCAGTAATGACGGTGACCGGCATATTTACGCATATGGGTACTTCAGCATATGGTGGTCTAAGACCTGATACCATAGATGCAAATGAAGATTTGGAGTTGGTGTCGATGCAATCGTAACCTGTGTTGTCGATGGCATGAGATATGTATAATGGACATTTGATCAAAGTGGCGAACGTCTTTACTGCTTCGTTGTTCCAGATTTTTTGCATGAACGGCCAGGGTGTGATTAAGATTTCGGCTGGTGTCTGTTTTGGTGTTTTGGAAGAATGCACTCCTTCTTGCAACAACTCCCAAGCAGAGTTGAGCAATTGTGCATGACGCGATGGTTCTACTGTTTTTTCTGTGTTGAAATATATACAGGTTGTGAAAGCCGTTTTCACAGCTGATGTCCACCATGATTTGTCTTGGTCACTATAGACCCATCCGTGCCGATTTCCGAATACTAGAATGTTCTTTCGATCAGAGATTTCGCATGATTTATGCTTATCATCTCTGTGATTTGCAGTAGTTGCAAGATGGATGAAAGATTCAATGGTAGAAGTGCTGCATGCTTGCGATTCGTCTATGATGAAGTACTGTTTTTGGTTTATTATATGATATGGAATGGCTTTGTCACGTTCAATATGATATCCACCATTAATCGCAGCGACAGGTTGTGAATGGGATCCGATAAAGAGTAGATGTAAGCTGTGCTGGTCGGCAAACATTTTTCAAATGATGTTTAAGGTTATGGTTTTTCCACTACCTGCTTTCCCGTCAATGATAACTAGTAAAGGTTCTTGGTCGATATTATTCCTATGGTTGAATAGGTGTTTCGCTACACTGTGAATAAGTTGAACTTGTTGGTGTTGGAGAGCAATGGGTGAATTCTCGATGTATCTGGCGATAGACGATTGATGTGGATATTGTGAGGGTTCCATGGCGTACAGGCAACTACAGCATATATTTTCGTGAATGAGTTGTGTTCCAGTACAGAGCTAAATGTATATTCACGATTACTGTTTACCGTGACCTTGTACGTTCTTGACGTGGAAAAATAGAAGCATAGCCCTTAGGATTACATTCAGATACGTTTATACCTTTAATATCTGACTTCGATTTTCATGCTGATTGTTGAATCAGCTTTGCAGATCATTCGAATCCACCGTTTCTATTGTGATAACTGTTCCATGTGATACAATATATAGTATTAATTCAGATGGCATATGTGTTTGTTAAATCGAATCTCATGGATTGTGGTTTATATCTTTCGAACTATAACTATATCTAATAAATGTTCCATGCTATACGTAGTAATAAGTAGTATGTGGAAACAATCAAATGCCTGTATAATTTTGCTCAAATATACGGTTCAAAGATGTTGTTTTGTGATCATGTCTTGTACAACTTTTCGCCGTACGCTGTGAGCATATGTTCATCTTTGATAACACTGCTTGTTGATATTACGTGTCAGTCCTATAGAAACTTGCGATGCCATCTTGGATTGCTTACCTCCTCGAGATATTTTTGCATTGGGAAAATGTTCTAAAACCGCGCGGTTTAATGTTACGCATTACAAACAGTGTGTGTTTAGCATTCAATATGCGTACCGCAATTTCTTCAGCGTCGATGAAATTGCAGAATTTCAAAAGATACAGGTATGATATGATGCAAGAAAAGTAATCATACTTACAATCAATTTGGCAGAGTTCAATTGCTCTTCTTGTTTCTGGCTCAACGGTGCTCGGATTTTTTAACAGAGAGGTTTACAACGGTGATCTTGACATGTATTGTCACTATGGTCTCTGTAAACCTGTGGTGGAGTGGCTTATAGGTCGCGGTTATTTGTTTAAGCCTGTTGAAGGACAAGTATCCGACTTCGACAATGCATTTTCCGAGGTTTACAACAAGGAACGTACAACTACAGAAGTCGTCGTTGTACCCAACGATTCAGACATTCGGGATTATACATTTGATACGATCGCCGCAGTGTGGAACTTTATTCGCGGTTCATCCAAAATTCAGTTAATTGCTACCCGCGGTTCACCATTGGAAACTATATTTTCTTTCCATTCAAGTAAGTGTCTTTGAATGCAGTCATCTATTAAAACTAATTACATTATAGCTTGTGTTATGAATATCTTCACACATCGCGCTGCATATTGTTTATTTCCTAAGCTCACATTGGAGGATAAAACAACGATGCTTATCGACCTCCAGGCTCCGTTGAATATGCGCGATATGTGTCCGATTCGTAAATATCAGGACCGAGGATTCAGCGTGGTACACCGGCCAACGTTTGAGCAAGCTTGTGATCCGTCTTCATCTATCTCATTTTTAGCTTTGAGATATGTTGGTGATGCTCATTGTTGTCGTATACCATTCCAGGATCTCGGTGGCAACTTGTCTTCTGTTGATATCATAGAATCAAATAGTTGGGACATGGCTTACACCCGGAAACACAACACCGTTGATTTCTGCTCTCTGAGTGTTCCTGGTGCAATTGTGGATTATGTTATTGGACCTCATAACATTGCTCTAGTCAGAGCACAAATGAATGCAGTCAACACCGTTCTTGATAATGGAGTCTTACAGTATGTTTTATCTTTCTATTATGTTGTTGTTCTGAATCAGCTGTTCAGAGGTGATGTTGCGATGACAGCAATTCAGAAACTTGTTCGTGGTTCGAATTATCGTCCGGTCAACGAAAGTTTAGTCTGGATGGAATTTTGCAAATTGTTCGACTACGTTAAAAATAATTCGCTGTCTATTTCGGCACCTACTGGGCAGGATTTGATCAAGTTACTTTTGATGATTCAACATCGATATACGGGAATGACTATGGTTAGTTCTGGTAATGTTTCATATAATGTTCTTGAAGCAATGGTTATTAGGATGATCCATTCACCAAAACTGAAGCGGGTATTACAAAGCTAATCTTGTCCATCCGTGTTGGTCTTTTGAGGACGAATGTGAATCGAGATGCATTGCATGCATTGATTCATTCTTTCACATCTGACAACATTCATATAACATTACACAGACAAATGCAAATGTAACAGGTAAATTCATTATTTCAGTTTGTGATGTTACTCTGTTTGATGGTTTGCAGTACAATGTTATCAGAACTGAAACAAATCATGCTTGAAAAAAAATGTTGTAAAACAAGTACTCTGTCTTTTATCGACGTTTGGTAGCATTTGGGGTTGACGTGAATTATTACGAATTCATACGCGCGATCTGGACCTTTATGTAGAAGGTGTGTAACCGGAGTGATTGTATTTAAATAATCCCCCTTTGAAAGCGTGTGTGTACTGGAATGTTCGTCAGAAAAGCTTGTCGACGTCTTGCAGACATCTGTATAGGTATCTCGTTATCGGCGAATGACATACAAAAGAAAACACGGTTCTGAATACTACAAATATAAATTAGTGAATAGAACCACTCCGCGTTGTCGGCACGTACATAGTGGTATTCCGAAACGACATTGGACAGATAGAACAAAAGTCCACATTCTTATGTACTATCTGGGAGGTTGATTAGTGTCATGCGATAATATCACGCGTGGTTTCTGATAGATCGGAAGAATTCTGGAGTAGATTCTGGTAGAAATGTGTTTGTCGCCATCCCGTAACTCCCGGGTGTGTGTCTATGTATAGAAAACTGTGAGGATAGATTATGAGGTGATGGCGATGGGTCATACTTCAAGAAAATGTCTGGCACGAGATATCCCTCATTCTTGACCCCGATAACTTCTATACCATTGTATATGTTTTATGTTTTCTATTGGCAAGGCTACGGGGACTATCAGTCGCTGTCCTATCCGCGTTCGCAAAAAAATTAGGGTCATTGACAAAATCCTCGGACTATGTTTTCCCAGATATTGAGTCAGATTTGCCATCCGATAGGTACGTTTCGGCTTCGATAAGCACGATTTGGATACTTGTGATTCTATGGATCTCGCCGTCAAAGTCGTACAAATTCATTGTGTACGAGTTTCTAGCTGAAACTGAGAGATCGTCATAAACTGAGTTAGCATTGGACACAATCATGTGTGGGTAGATGGGCGATACGTGTCTGGTTGAAAATATGAAAGGTTGAATCCTGAAAATATTTGGGAATCGCCGATGACATTGAGGTCGAGGTTAATTTTGGTGGAGACGCCCATCATAGTCAACGAAGCGCTTGACGTCACATGATTACTAGCTAGAGGCTTGATTCAACCGTTTCATCTGTCCTCTTGGGATTCGCTCCGTCTTTTCCTGTAAGATACCCAAGTTCAACGTCGATGCGGATAAAGCGACGTTTTCGAAAGCGTGCAAGATTTCGTCATTGAATCCCATGTAAATATTAGGGTGCAAATGTAGGAGATTTGAATGCTGAATTCTGCGTAGGCAATGGAAGAATATTGATTATGACTTGGAAGATTTTATAGCTGGCGCGCTGTTATCTTCTAATAATCAAACGGAAGGTGACCCGTTAGGCATTGGTTCTGATGTCAGGTGTGTTTTTTATCTTCAAACGGTTTGTTCTGTGTTGAAGTTTGCATTAGTTTGAAAGAAACGGAGTCAAGTGAACTATTAAGAGCACGCTGCAAGAATCTCAACTGGTCTGACTGAATACGTTTTTCCCAGTCTTCTGTCTTCATTCTGTCGAAGTCCTTCGATCCAAAAAGCCTTTCTGACCCTTGTACACTCCAACGCAACATATCAGGATCTTGCATCCGGTATATCCCATCTCCAATGCTCTATAAATGCCCGTTTGAAGGCCATTCGTATCCGGGTTGAAGATAACTTGGATCGTTTTGTGCTCGTGAAGGCGAGTACGGATGGTAGGCGCGCTAATCTATTCTGACGAGATACCAATCGATATTCATCTCTTGTCATCCCTTTATGCTGAAATGAAGGAAGGCCTACTGAAATCTTCAACAGAATACACATCGAAACCGTTACGGGACGAGTTGAAGCGTATGTGCTAACATTGTGTTCACGTGTTTCTTGCCTTCCAACTCACCATGATTAATTTACAGGACGCAGTGAAGGCTAATCAAATCTTTGTTCCGGTTTTTGAAAATACCTCCAAAGCGGACAAGCTCTGAACAACGCTTGGCGTTTTCGAAAGACGCAAATTCTTCCTCAATCTACTCAGTTTGATCATCGAGTCGATAGAGACTGTGAGTACGACGAGCTAATCCTTTTGGACAGGTTGAGTATTCATATCATATATTCTATCTGTCAGGATCGGTACGAAGTTGCGATGCGTGATTACAAAAAATGCAAGCTTCTTCTTGACATTTGTCTGGGTCAGCTTTTTCCTATCAGTGCATCGAAAGATAGAGAGAAAGACGATCAAGGAGGCGGAGCATGGGGTGGTCCTACATCAGCAGAATAACAGCAACAAAAGCGTATGTTAGACAGGGTGTGGGTGAACGTTGAGAAAGCCATGGGCGAAATGTGCTCCTTGGACAGTTGAGAGACCCTGGAAGGAGTGTAGAAGAACAGGAGAAAACCCTTACGTGAGAATAGTTTAACTGAAAGAATCTAACCATAACCTGAGCATTTCCGTTTTTTATGTTACCAGGCTACTAATTGAACTGCCATTAACGGAGGATCCTGCATGGACATACTTGGATAGTCAGTACAAACACATTCTAGAGCAGATGAACAAAACATTCAGAATATCTACTGCTGCTGTGACTGCCGCGTTCGAGAATAGCGTTTTCGACAATGTTGGCGATTTATTGACAGACTCTTTAGTCATTCAGTTGCGGCAAAGCAATTCCACGTTAGAAGCCAAACAGCCAGATGCAGTCACCGGTGAAAATACAAGCTTTACGTTTACTTGCCTACGTATTGACATTAGGAGATCTAGCGAAGTTGGTCGGCGAACTTGTTTGGCAAGCTGTCCTGGATCTTGTGAAAAATGTAGGCGAGGAGATGATGGAGAGCTTGCCTAACTTTTGGAAGATATCGAACGGATTCATAGATGGAAAGTTTAAGAAAGTTCGTTTTACAGTAATGAACCTTCGATACAATACTTATTGACGGTACGCATTCATAGGCATCGACCTCATCATCATCATCAAGTAGTCGCCGCAGTCCCTCCCAATGCCGCACTCTGGCTTTAGATATCGTCAAGTTGTACATCTCCTTCCTATCCCAATTTTTCAATCTTTCCGATATGGCTGTAACGTCTTCCCCGGGTATTCCCTCCAGTAATGATGTCATTTCAACATTGTTACCCTCAAACTCAATATCGTTTTCGACCGTGCATTATCTTCTGAAAATATTTGGCGAAATTCAGGATTGTGTTAATGAACTCAATGCGATGGAGATTTCCGGTGATGTCTCCGCAAGCCTGAAGGGGTTGTTGGATAGTACGAAGTGGAGGTTTGAAGATGTGTTAATTGTTGCTTGGCTGAGAGGTACTCATTCCCTTCAGGCGCGATTGCGTTAGCTTACTGCCAGTAGACGCCAGCGACTTTCATCATCTTGAAGCATGGGCCGGGTTTCTAGTCCCTGTGATTCATCTGTAACACACTATCTTACTCAGATGGAGCTCTACCGACGGCATATCACCACCGATTGGTAGTGTCGATTACTCAGAATTCTATTCTCGCAGCGTTCGTGTCGATTGTCAAGACATTCATGGTCGTACTGTATACTTTCTTAGAGGGTCTTGTGAAGCTCATGGAAGATGAAAGAGAAGGGGGAGTAAATGTTAAAGGAGTACATCCTGTTACAATTGTGTCAACGTCAAATGCGACGAATGCATTTAAGCAATAAGGTATGTTCTTCCAATAAGACCTGATTGTCCATATTCTCAGAATGCTACATGTCGTAGGACAGTCGTTTGTTGCTGGTGCTTTCGAACCTTAACTATATCTCCAAGTTAGTTTTCCCCAGTATGATCACACAGTTGGAAAATGCTTTCGGAGTTACAATCACAGAGGAGAGACAGGTACCCATTCTTCCTGATATGTGGTTGTATCTGATTTCCGGAATGTAGACTTTAATGACAATCATTGCGGAACTGGATACAACCGCGTTCTAAGGGTACTCGAAGCCTCGCGCTGCTGTGGTCACGGATCTTGTACGTGGAGGAGTCCTCGATGAGAGCATGGATTGGTATGAGACTCTTCAACCGAAAGGTAAGTACTCCAACAATGTCCAAAACAACCCGATAGCAATGCCTTTGCGAATTCAAGAAATACGCCTGTACATGTATGAGACTCTAATGTACCTCGTGGGGGTCCATGCGCAAATCACGAGTGTGGCGGAAGTCGTGCTGGAAATTACCTAGCGGAAGCGTTAGCAGAAGAGGCATTGAAATGTTTTAAACAGGTGAAGAGGTTCGGGATGGGCAGAATGTTGAGGGTAATCATAGTGTTCCTCATTCCTTGAATCTTTTCAGTCATTTCTTTTTTACATTTTTTACTAAGCGACTCTCGAAATCGAATTCATGCACCAATCATTGGGCAAATATGTCACACTTAGAGCCGCGAAAACACTATCGGATTTATACAACAAAATTTCTCAGGCGTATGCGCGTCGGCCGGGGGATGAGAATCTACAGAACCGTTTGGATGGGGTGGAAAAGATTCTTACAGATACGAAACGAGCAACGGAAATTGAGTTCCTATGCTTTAGGCAGCCAAAGACCGCGAGCGCAAAGACAACAGGGGGAGAAGGAAAGTCGAGAAACAGGGAAGCCAAGGTCAGAGACATCGCTGGACTTCGAAGCGCTGAAGTAAAAGTGCCATAACATGCCCAGCGTCGTACGCAACGAGACGCAACGCCGCAGATCTACGCCCACACAGGACCCACACACCCACGGCCCACCGACCGAAACCCGAGAAATCCAATCTTCACGGATACAAACGCCAACCGGCCAGCAGACACAGTTCAACCCACAAAACCAAGACAAGTAGCAACATACCATACGAATGTTGCAGTGGTAGCATTCAAGGTTTCTCTAACAAACAAGGGGGTAATGACCCAGTGGACGCCGACGGTGTGAGAGCGGTCATACCTAATTCTCTCGCCTTTATTCCGAAAACACCACCAGTCTCAGTTCTGAAAGGACCACCGGGAGTAACAGGAGTAGAAACAGCAGGCGTATCGAGCCGAGAGCGATTGTGCACCAGATGAGCACGGACGAGATGACTTGCAGCAAGAGCGCTCACCAACGAAAGTTCTCCTGCCATAACGGCCGCAGCGATTAAGCAAGCAAGAGCTTGAGCATTTTGACCAGGATGTATAGGGTGAGCACTCTTCAACCTAAGCATTTCGAGGATAGCCTGTTGGGGAGCGAGGACGGTTTTGCCGACAGTATCGGCCTCAATGGAAGGCATTGAGACTGTGATAAGTCAGTCTTCATCGTTATTGGTACTAGAATACACGTCAGTTTTGAAGAGTTCGCAGATTAAGAACCCAACTCACGGTTTCATGTGTGTCATACGGTTAGAACTTTCAACATTCTGCGCAGAACCTTGACCAGTAGCAACGAATATAGCCATCAAGATGTTGGCAGCATGAGCGTTGAAATCATCGATATATCCAGTCATTGCACTTCCAATTAAGTTCTTTACCGTGTTGACAAGACCGTGCCTACAGGTCAATAACTATAGAGGTTCTGAGGTCGGATATGGGCCAGAAATGGCCCGGGATAACTCCGAGGTCCGGAGCCGAGTACTGGCCTGTAGTACACACTGGGAGTGGGACGTCGGTGAAGCTATTAGCAACACCCTTCACACACTGTTGGTGTCCCCGGGAATTATGGCAAGAGTGCAAGATTGGTATGAGCAGCCTAAATGGGGTTCCTGATGATCCGGGAGTCCGGGAGCAAAGGGTAAAGAAGATATTAAAGACTGGGATAAGATGGTACACTTGATTTCAAGCTTGACTACAACGTACAAAGTATTCTAGCTTATATACATCCCAAATACAGTCAGAAGACCTCGATGAAAGCTCGGAACAATAAATAAATACAATGATGGTCACAAGGTTATTATTCCGAAGTCCGGCCGCTCCGGGCCGGGCCGGGAAGCGTATGGGGTGAATTGCATGCATATGACACGTGTTCAGATTGCGAAGTGCCCCCATTGTTGTCTCCAGAACACTCTTAACGAACTTCCCTAGTATGACCGCCTCCGCATCAACCTTCTTTACCTGATCCCTTATCCAGTTAATCACTGCTGGTCTCTTGTTTGTACAGTAGTTGCCAGATAATGCCAGTGGAATCATGTCAGGAAAGTGTTGCTGTATGATTTCCAAAGCGTCCTCGGTACCTTTATATTTCATATTCATACCCATGGTATCTTCAGTGACAGCGGTGAACCGGACAAGCAACGCTCGGCCAATCATCGTGCATCTGAGACTACGCAGTATCGCAAACCGTGATATGAACTCGACTGCTTCCTTAACAATAGAGTAGCTCTCCTCAAAGTCAATCTAAGCTCTACATTTCGTAATCTGCACAATAGTTGGAAAGTTAATAGCAGGCCCTCGAGTCATCGCATCCTGAGTCAAGACAGTGATCACTTCTCCACCAGCATTTAAAGCCTTGCATGCACGAGAAGTAGAGGTGACTAGTATACGTTCAGCTGTTGCTATGGGAATAGGAAACAGATGACCGTCGACCCCTAGAGGTCGAGCAATACCTAGGGGAAGGGAAATAAAACTGAGAACATTTTGAGTAGTTGTAATGACGCATAGGTACGTCCGAATGTTCGAGGGTTTGTGTTGACGAGGCACGAGCTACAGAATTGACTTGTTTAACAGATACTTGAGAGAAGACATTGACTTGCAATCAGGGCACGAGGAATTGTCACAATCATCTCATATTCAGTGTTTGCTAGCGCCTTCTACAGCACATATGCGGTTATGTTGTCATTTTGAGTGAGAAGAATAAGTTCCTCATCGTTCGATAATGACAAGGCGATGCTGACGGGTCGGGGACTTTCGAAAATATCGATACATTTCTCGAACGAACGGACAACCTCGTCATTTCCGTCGTTATCAGAAGACGACGATGACGACGCAACCCGAAAGAAAGAGCCTCGCGCGAGACGACATGCCCGGAGCGCGCAACTGACCCCATCAAGCGTAAACGTCGCTGGACGACGATGAGCGGGAGCGGAAAGCAATAATTGGCGGAGGCATGAAAACAATGGGCGTGACAAGTTGCTAGACTACGACAGGCTCGGAATGCGCGTCAGACGAGGGTTTAGTAGTAGCGCCACCGTCAAGACGAACCCCACCCAAGACCCGCGGCAACCCCCCCGAGAAAGTAGCCGGTGAAGCTAACAGAGATAGCTAGAACCATCATAATCCACTTCGACAGGAGAGGGTCTCCTATAAGCCGGGACCAGCTTGACATAAAGTTTTCTACTATTTCCGGAGTGGAACGAGGAGCATCAAAAATAGACGAAGGGTCCACAGAATCGTAAGCAGCAGAGCCCAAGGGCATAGCCCGAACATGAGCGGAGGGCCCAACCTTCACCCAAAGACCACGGTCATTCGCTTCAGCGCCTTCTTTGATCTCGGATTGAATGTGCTTGGTGTTTGCAAGGATGCTTAGGACATGCTGAATCGCAGGAGTCGAGATGTCAACTTTGCGGAAGAAATTTATTGATTGCAGGGAGAGATGTCGTTCAGGAGTCAAGGGAGTAATGAAGATATGCAGCGTGAAGAAAGTGGTGATTTGAAGACGGCACTCGTGAGCAGGGTGCATGAAGTTGAAGATGAAAACAAGCACCTTCCAGGAGCAACCTGAGGCGAGGTACAGGACTTTCAGATTTATCCTGTTTCTTTCCTAAAGTTGCGGGGAGGCTGCACCCCTTTCCATCCAAAACCAAGGAAGAGATCCCCCCGCCCAAACTAGAATGCGACGAACGAAGATTTGGTGAACCAGTAGGCGAAGTAGCTCTGGAAGCAACTCTGGATTTCGAGATAGCCCGATTGGATTGAATACGACAGACCTAAAGAGGAAACGTAATCAGTAATGTCGAACGAACCCGTCATTGAAGTCGAACTGACCTCAATCATCACATAGAGGATCGACGATAAGAACGTGCATAACAACAAGCAGTACATGCCAAACACGAGAGCAGTAAGCACCCACACTCCTCGTATACCATTAACTTCCCTGTAAACTCCGAAAACAAGAATGGCAATTTCGACAGCATAATCACGAAATATGGGAATGAAGACACCTGCTCAATGTCTCGAGCACAATTTCGCCTGCAGGCTTCGGCTGCCTATTTGAGCTAGAGTCACCTACAGGACCCCGCAGACGAGGGCGATCGAACACCACCCGAGTCAAGCGGAGAGGTTCGCCAAAATCAACCGTGCATCCGAGGAAGAAAGGCTTCGGTTAGTACAACTGGATCCATTAGAATGCAGAACCACATAGCAACCCGCAGAGACAAAAGAAGCGCGAACACGGAAGAAACAGAAACGGCAGAGGAGAGCCACAGGTTTGAACCGAGCCGGCAAGAACGATGGAACAACAAAAGGAAAATGGTGTGCATGAGAACATGGATTGCCAATATGAGAACAATGTCGAGGAAATCTACTTTCTGTATATGGTGAAATCATGCTGAAGGGTTCATGCGGCGCAGTGACAAGAAAGGTTGACACACGTCGGCCAAACCCCAGAACCGCACGACAAGAGTGATAGCGGCATACGCTACCCATTTGTTACCCCTGATCTCATCGATCACTTCAGTTTGCTTAGCTTCTACTTTAAATTCCATGTCACCGTGGAGTGGAGAAGATTTGATCAAACGGTCAAACGTGATTATGAAGTCTTCGAGCAGCCTACAAGAAATCATTGAGTGGTTTAGCACGTAAGAACGACATGATGCGCACCTCCGCCAACCGGTGAACGGAACCCAACAAATACTGGACCGGAAGTTCAAGAGGAACAATGGAGGCGGGGGGAAAATATTTGGCTTTCATATGATGCCAAAATGTGTTTCGGAAGTTAACCCATTCGTTACGATGTAAAAGAGTACGTGAAGGCCGGAGAACAGAACGACAAGAGGATGCGAAGAAGACTGAGTGTTTGATGGTGGAAAAGAGAAAGACGACAGTCTTAATGAGAGAATAGGCGGCGTGAATGAAGAAGGGCTTGAGTACAGCGCGCATAACGAAAACAGTGCGATAAACGCTTCAAACAGGAAGGAATACTAACGAACAACAATCAGTAACCAGCAGTGGAATCTAAGTATGGGGGGGACCTAAACTTACGAAGTGCAGTATTAATTATGTCTGAAGCAGCTGCGCTTCACCCAGATTCCCAAAATAGCGCCAACCAAAGGACAACGCCCCCGGGACGTAGTACGACACCGGTCTGGTTCAGATCGACCTCTTCATTAATTGCCTTCATCATTTCTCTGAGATTGAAATATCCGGAACATCGATTTATGCATGCTTGCAAGGCCTTGCATCTTGAATGTTGAAACATTAACGCGTTCAGTTGAACTGATCTGTGAGGTGACCGTTTTAATAGTAAACAATCTATCCTTAGCACCGTGCATGCTTCAGAGCGCTTGTATATCAGTCAAGGACTACCATACGTACCTCCAGACCGAATTTCATTGGCTAACGCGTGCCATATACCGCCAACGCTACATGGGTGATTGAGACTGTTCTCTTAACGTTTGGAGATAAGACGATGTTGTTATGAACACTACACTACGTGCAGTAAGTTCATTTAGCGCGAATTGTCCGACCATGGCTGTATACTATGTGGCGAAGGAAAAACAGGGCCCAAGCAAGAGGCACCCAGCGCCGAGACACACGCGAGCGGGGCCCCCGGAAGAGAACCCACCAGCACGCACATTGAAACCTGGAGTTGGAAAGACCCACACAGCGCCCACCAGGATATCGAGTTTTCGACAAGTCAACGAAGGACCTTAATCGACAGCCGTTCGTATGCTGTCAATCTCGGATACATCCATTTTTAAACCACACCGTCAAGCATTTTCAATTCAGTTATAGATTCTGAACGTCCAGCGGTCGCAAAAACTTTGACTTCTGGTTTACATGTCGAAGGCATAAGGAAATACTTTTTAATCGTTCAGTGGGAACGAGACATACCTCTACAGTAGAATTTCTTGACAAAAGCACGGTTGATACCACCAACGCTGCGGCCAGTTATCAAAATGTTCCTTTGCCTGATAGTGGATAAGAAAACGTTTAAGCGTACCTTGGTATACATAGGTCGAATTCATACGCATATGTTGTATTCTCGACGATCTTGGTATCAGCTATGTAAAGGATTCGAGTAGTTTAGTTCTGTTTTTTTGTCGAGGTCGGCACCGGTCCGTTTGTCGTTTCTGGTGCGGGGTCGGTTTTCGGTGTCTCGGACCGACGGTTATTTCCGAGTCTCCCAAACAGGTTCCAGATTTAGAAAAAAATTCTTATTGTCATGTGAGACGCAAAGCTCGTAATCTGCTTTCAGTTATCTTCTCGCGTATTTGACGACTCGTACACTACCTGATTGCCAATCCTTGTAAATTCAACGATTTGAGATCGCATTTCTTTCCGATTGGTCTTTGCTCGAAAATTGTTGGGGAGTTTGACCTGCGGTGACACGTTAGACAGGTCTGTCAAAAATTTGGCGTACTAGTGATTGGTTCCTAGAAGCAGAGGTCAAGAAACCCTTTGAAGATTCCCCTGATAGCACCTTCTTCGAACGACTCAGGTATCGCTCTAATTCACCGCTGTCATTGTCATCTCAACATTTGAGTTTTCAGCTGTTCTCCAAATGGTGCACGTATCACTGCTTCGAATGCCACCAAGAACAAGAGTTTTGTCTTCATCGCTGCTATCATTATTCGTGAGACATGGACATCAGATATCAGTCTGATTGGACACGAAAATACAGTGAAAGTCGCAGTATGTTTCATTTCCTTAATCGTTTATTCCCCAATATTGACCGTTGCAGGCATATAATCCTCATATCTTCTCAAGAAAATTCCACTCCCGTCGTAACCTCAAATACTTGCTCTGTTGTTGCATTGGGTGCAGTCGACCGATCTACTCCATGCGACAGACAAAATCTGCTCGACTTCTCATCGTTACGAAGGAGGTTTTTGATAAGCAGATAATGGTTCTGAGTTGGTGAGCTATCGCATGATTCCCACTAATCTCGTCTCACATTTCCGCTATTTCAGGTCGTGGGATGATATCACTTGTACATTGTATCGTCTGATGGGACCATCGCTGTATTTGACTTAGAACAAGATGAACTGGAAGGAATAGCTCTGCATTCCGTACAAGAACAATACCTTCCCAAATTCAGTTTCACCCCGCCTCTACTTCCTAAAGGTTATTCCCATGTAATTACCTATTCACACAACGCCACTGTCTCTAAAAGTCATTCACAGTCGGTTGCATTTGATATTGCGACTATCGGGGGCGAGGTAGTGAACGTATTGGTTGCCAAAAGGAATAACAAGAAAAAACGTACTGGCTCTGGAAAACTGTTACTCAGCTTCGTCGACTCATTTTTTCACGACGGGGGTTAGGGCCGGGTACAGGCGTTACTTGGATGGTGGAGTCCCCCTTGTCTTTCTTTCACAGATGTTGTATATTCGATCGGGGTAGGGGAGGATGCGCTATCACAGCATTCACGGTCTAATTTTCGTCTTCGTTATTTTTTTCTTTAGCATGATGACCGCTGCTGGCTGGGTCGCGGCGATAGGTGAGCTTTTCCAACCCCTTTTATCATGACCTATGTAGCTCATTTGGGTTTCATGAAGTTTCCTTCATTGCAATTCGTTATGCAACTGCTCGAAGACAGGGCACAAGAGGTCCAGACGGATTGGAGAAACAAGTCATCATCTACCCCTCACTGCATATTCGGCTACTTCCTATACTTGCTCGGGCCGATGTGTTTATTGTCCTAAGAAGAGTACTGGTATGTTCGGTAATCTTGCATCCTATATGCGTTGTATTCTCGGTGATCTTGGTATCAGCTATGTGAAGGATTCGAGTAGTTTAGATCTGTTTTTTCTTAGGGGTCGGCACCCGTCCGTTTGTCGTTTCCGGTGCGGGGTCGCTTTTCGGTGTCTCGAGCCGACTGTTATCTCCGACTTGAGTCCCGAACAGGTTTCAAATTTAAAAAGTTGTTATTGTCATGCTCGTAACCTGCTTTCAGCCGTCTTCTTTTGGGGAGAGAGGTTGCCTCTTAAGTCCTTTCTTTCGGGAAGCGAAGTTGCTTCTTAAGCCCATTCCGTTAGATGATTATGGAAACAAGGTGAATATTGCGACATGTTAGCCCAATATTAGATTGACGGTGTTGACAGATCCAAAGATTTGGCTATTACGCACTCTCTTGTGCTTCTTTAGTGAAACGATCAAAATCCGTTATAGGATTGTTCGTATTTGCAGACATGTTAGATGTCAGAAGTTGCGTAGTATATCATCTTCTATTGGTTTACACAAATGTCAATCATGTGCTGTATTAGGTATATGGATTTAGTTTATATAGGTGAAAGTTGCTACAACTTTTATTATCACTGTAGCATTATCATTCGGATCGATGTCAGTCAGCTCTTTATCTGAAGGTGTGTTCGCTATATTGTTCTGTCGCAATAATCTTAGGAACTGTTTGGGTATAGATTCTGCTGGAATGGTAAATAACCGTTGTTCTTTGTGTTGACATTGGTGAAATGTCTTGTATTCTAGGTGGATAAGTCATTCGAATTACGTTCATTCAGGTCGTTGGATGTTCATAATCGTGCAACTATGTACGATCAAGTTGAACAACTGATTATGCATAACGCAAAAATTCTGTTGCCCCTCGAAATGGTCATGCATTTTTACAAGGATAAGTTTGATGATTGTATCATTCCTGTGGCTTCTACTACGACGATGCAACGTGTCGCTTCCTTATCGGAACGAGGAGGATTATGGCTTGTGGACACTGCAAGAGATGTTGTGACTGTTGCTGTCATAGCTCAAATAAGTGATTCGCCTGGTGATTTGAAGTGTGGCGAATACCTTGATATGAACGTATACAATCGAGAGGTACGTTGTTTCTATGTCTATAAAAAACTCATCATAACTGGTTTCTTATTTTTTTTACTTAAAAGATAAATCTCGATTCATTTCGAAGAGCATCTGCGCGTTTATTTTTCACTCAGGTCTTTATACCTGCTGAAATCTCAGCAAAACAAAGTACCATATACGAGGAACATCTTTCGCGCTTTGATTCGTTGTTAAATTTTCTGCAACAAAGCACTATACAATATTTGGATTCGGTGAAAGTCATAGATGGTATAGACTTCCTGTATTGTGATTAATGTTTCTGACAATTCTCTAGATAAGTTGTATCCGGATCAAGATGTTGGTATGACTACCTTTGTGGAGTTGCATGATCACGGTTACTATGGTTTACGTGGAAAGACGATGAATATTTTTCACAATGTTCCTACTCAAAAGACAAGACCATCATCTGCTATGTTGAACATACGCGGACAACTACCAGATCCTAGTGAGTACCTGAGCATATAAACGTAGATTATTTATTATGTCTCAAATATTTGTCAGGACAATTACGCAAATCAAAAAAAGAGCGAAATCTTCAAGCATTGGTGCCAACTCATAGTATTGATGGTATACAACACGTATTTGAAAGTTTGGTATGTACGTTGAATATGTTCTTAATTTTGTAGAAATTCCTATCACCGAAAGAGTTTTAGGCCATTGGCCAGACTCAGAAGGTTGCATAAGATCTCTGGCCGAGAAACACGATCTTTCTGGTGTTCGCATCCACATTCCTGAAGTTTATGATTCTCAAGGGGTGTTGGTTCATCCTATGGACTACGAGAAAATCCTTGTATGTGGACGTGTTGTTGAGATTGAATTGAACTTTCATTTGTGAGTTTCAACAACTCCCTACATATAATTTTATTGTGAATTCATTATTTATTCAGATGGGATATCACAAAATCAGCTAGCGGAAATTCGGTGAATAAACCAAATCGCATATGTTCAAACATTATTCGAAAGCTTCGTGTTTTGCCTGGAGATGAAGATGACATACGTTTGCTTTTTCATACAGAGGCATTGAACAATATTGATGAATTTGAACGTCGTTCTGAGGAGTTGCGTGTTGCAGAGGAGGCGAGGGAGATCGCTCGACGCGAAGAGGTACTTCGTTTAGAGCAGACAATGGCAAAAGCTAAGGCGACAGCTGATGCAAAAAAGAAACGTCTACAAGAACTACGTGTTCAAACTGTGAACAGTTCTACCAGTTCTATTCCTTCTAAACGGAACGATAACAACTCGTTTGCCATATCAGAGACATCGAAACGAATTCGCTTGGATGAAAATGAAAATGAAATCGTATACGAAGAAGGTGAAATTATGATTGAGTAGAACAGGGTACACTATTTGTTTTTGTTTTTCTTCTTTTGATTCCGATTTTATCCGATGTAAAATTTCCATGTATTGGTATACGCTGTTCAATCTGCACAAGAAATATGTGAATTGGAGAAAGTCATACACCAGTCGGACATTAAGTCAAAAGCCTAGCAGCGCCTAATATTTGACAGAATAGTGGCTTAGTAATTTGTGCCGTGAGCGCTTATTGACTCTGACGTGGAGCAGCATATAGCGAGACCTACCGTACTATGGAACCCGGTAAAGTCATAAATCCGTAAATTCATAAGCTCATAAATGAGGTCACGTGAAGCTAATAGGAGGTCACAGGGGAGCTATTACACCAGTGGCACATCTTATCAACTTACATCTCCTATTTTCAGTTTACAGTGGTTATTTCAACACCTCTGTGATTTGAATGTATATGATAAGCTCTGTTGATAAAACCTTGGAATAGTATTCAGGCAGATGAGGTGCAGGATAACAGTTGAAAAACCAGTGACTGTGTTATAGTGTACATTACTTGCAAGGAGTTTCCCCAAGCATGACAGTCAGCATATCAACTTGAACAATTCATGGTTGTTGTGATGTATAAATATAGCAGTTGTAATAAACAGTGGTACTCTATGTCAATGCATCTGCAAAACCTGTGTGTTTGCCAGAGCAAGGGTACTGGCTGGAGAGCACTCTCCAGCACCCAAAGCACTGAGATTTTAAACTTGCTCTGGCTGCTGAAAAGTGCTTTCAGCTGCTCTTGGAGAATTAGCCAAAAAAACAGGTTTTCCAGATGTGTACTTAATGACAGTGTATCTTTAATGTCAGTGTACTTTAATGTCAGTGTATCTTTATGTCAGTGTATCTTTAATGTCAGTGTATCTTTAATGTCAGTGTATCTTTAATGTCAGTGTATCTTTAATGTCAGTGTACTCAGTTGACGGTGTTATTACATGCCATTGCCTCAGTTTGCAAAATATCTGTGGACACTAGGTACATTCAACCAGCATGAATTTTCTGTTGGTACCCTAAGATAATGCCGGTATGTATACTGATCTGCAAAACCCTACATGACTATTAATTTTGCTGGAAAGTGCTTCCAGCTGTTCCCAGGTAAATAGCTAAGAGTACAGGTTTTAAAGATTAGTACATTGCTGAACAAATTCAATACTATATAACTTGAATGCCCAGAAAGTATCTCAGTATTCTTGGAGACCCCTTGCAAGGACTTTGGCTTAAATGAATTGCAGAGTAGATAACAATTTGTACAAATTTGTGTTTGCAAGCAATTTCCTAGGATTGTGGTCAGTGTATCAGTCACATCTGTAAAACCTATATTTTTGGCTAAGATCTCAAAAGCAGCTGACAGCACTGTCCAGCTGGGAAAGCACTCCCAGTAGTTTATGAGTGCTGAACAGCATGCACAGCACTCTTCAGCTAGTATCATTTGGTCTCATGAACATCCAGGTTTTACAGATCAGTATATGGTCAGTGTACTATGGTCAGTGTAGTAGTTAGCAGTGTATTGATCGGTGTAGTACAAGTACCACACCTCAGGCATGGGCCTGTCTGTTTGCCATACTAATCATTGTACTGATACAGTTTTATCCATGTCTAGAGCAGATTGATCAATGATCAAGCTCAAGACTTGGTGGTTAAGATGAGCAGAAGAATATCAAGGCTGTAAATAATGATGTCATCAAATTAATGAATTTACAGATTTACAAATTTACGGATTTACTGGTTTCCATACCACGCCACTTCTGGATATAGCGGCACTGAGTTTATGGGTTCGATTTGATCACGGCTGGAGTAGGCGGGAGGGTCGAACTTCAATTTTGTTTTTGATCATTCTAACACTCGGTCCGGCAGATTCTCAAGGTGACAAGTTCCATGAGAAAATCACATTTTACAGTTTTTTTATTTAACTCTTCATTTACCGCAAGTAAGTATCACATTTTACAGTGTCCACTGTAAATTCCATTCAGTAGCACAGTGTCTCAGCCTCAGCATCAAGTTAGCACACCATGGTAGACAAGGAATTAAGCCTTTGAGGCCAATGTGCTACTCTTCAATGGGGAATCTCGTGATATTGCATTGTATGAAGTCTGAATGAAATTCTGATAGGCCTATAGATCTATCATATAAATAAGTCTAAGATTTTATGCATCCCAGTGAGATACTTGGGGATGTTAAGATAGACTCAGTTGGTAGTAAATCAACTGTGATATTGATGATCTGTACCTGTTAAGATAGACTATTCTACGTAAGGATTGTGTTCATACAAATATCTAGTGGGCTCACCCCTGCTCACCCTCAGTTGGTAGTAAATCAACTGAGGGTCTTGAAAATGCCGCACTTGCAATGTATTGACTATGAACTGTACAGTACCCAGTATAAAGTCATGTGTCTTGTACATACTTAGGCATGCAGAGTACTCCCCAACAGGGGAATATTCCATATGTATATTACAAGGCTGTAGTTTATGGAAGACCCGTCCTTATGTAGGTTGCGTCATTGTCAAGTCCATGCCTCAGTGCCTCGCTCTGCTGCTCGGTATTCCGATCTCTGTCCTTTATTGTAATCTCTTCTTTATTTTTCTTTCTCGCTACACATACCCATTCATTCTAGTCTCTCCTTATTGTCTTATTTACCCTGGCATGGTTCGTCTGAGCTCCAGTTACAAAGGGAGTTCCAAAAGGAGCTCCCTGCGGGGGTACCGCTTCTTCGAGAACTGCCAATGTTCTTCGTTGGTTTGGACCCCTTTGACTTTCCGCTCCCACTGCCTGAGACTGCATCGATACCGACCCTTGATACGGTATGACTGATGGATTACTCAGTCTTGGAGGAACGTGTACAGGGTTGGGAACCAACCGAGCTGTCAGATCTTGTCCAGAGATCCGGGATAAATGTTGTGTGCCATCCATCCTTAATTCGCCAAACTGATATTGCTGCATCGAAACTGGAGTTACTGGTTTCATTTGCAGGTTAACTCTGGGGGGAGGAGTCAAATTTTGAATCAAGGCATGTACAGTGGGGGAGGTCCCCGAGCATGACTGGGGGCTCCTCGTGGCCGTGTTACCAGGGTTAAGGAATTCAGGAACCTCAATATTCCTGGGCGATGAATGTTTCTGTGTCAGGAAACGGCCATCAGATCCATGGAGCTGCGTTTTCTGGTCAAATTGCTCCGGAGGGAACTCCCCTACACTCTCTGGTTCGCATTGAACCATATACGAGGTTCCCTGATTATCTGCGACCAGTCTGCAACAGAATTCTAAAGCTCTTTCTAGATTCAATCCCGAAAGTTCCTCCAACAGCATCAGAGTGTCTGATTCCGCTAGTAACGTCCGGTGTCGGGTCTCCTGCGAACACAACATCGCTTCAGACTCCTCACTCCTCACCAGAAGCTGGTGCATATGCCTCATGGGCATGTACGTGTATACCGTCTGTCTGTTATGGACCCGGACGGGACTATCCTGATCAGGCATTGACTCCACTGGGGCCAGGAGGTGAGCCGTGGTGTATCTCCTGCATCTACGATTTTTTGCAGCAATTGTGTTAGCATCCTTGTCACTTTCCTCATCAATTTTAGATGCTGCCGCCACTAAATTTGCGTTCCGAAGTATTTGGATCGCCTGGTAGTTTGGGATGTTAACTCTCGAAGGGGGAGGTTCAAATCGTACAGCTCCTAATCTGTAGTTAGATGCTCGGTACAATATACGCAGCCCCACTTCTCCACAGAATTCCTTCTCCCTTCCATGGGTATGAGGAAGGAGGGGAAGTATTCCCCTCGAGTTTCGAAACGTTCGCCCGTAACATGCCTCTGCCTCTAACAGTTCCAACATCCTTTCTGGGTCCAACAGGACGTTGTACAGCCAGAGAAAGTCTGATCGATTTGTTGGGGTCATCAGCCAATGCTGGGCCTTTTCTGGGAGGTCTATCTCCAGTTGAGTTCCCACTGTTAGGAACCGTACTCATAAGTCTGAGAATTCGAGACCGTCTCCCAATATTTCGATCCCCATCGACTCCAATACCTCCCTTAGAACCATAGCTACATCCTCCGGGATACACTCCTGAATTCGAATGACGTCTTCCATACGCAATGTCATTTCAGACAACGGTTGTACTGGGAAGTTGGTCCTGCTATGGTGTATTGCGTGTGTACACTCCCAGTTGGGCGTATTCATAGCTGGTCTCTTCAGGAGACTGGAAAGCGAACTTCCTCGTCTCGGGGGAGGAAGGTTAAGGGACTGTACTGAAGGAGTTGGTAACCTCCGGGATGACGTCCGAGACTGTTCGGATACGACAGATGATACCCTCCTCTCTGGAAGTTTCTCCTGTTGTCATACCGTGAGAGGGTCAGTACTCTCTTCTTGTATCCTTTTGATAGCGGCTACTTGGCCGCTGACTCTCCCACCTGCATTCGAAGCCGACTCCATGTCTAGCTGCGGTACTGGCCCAGGAGGAGGTCGTCTCGTTCCCCAGGTAGGGAAGTAGGCAAAACCTCCCATGGGACTACTGGCAGGTTGGGCATAACCCATGGAGGCATACCTCCATTGTGGTGGTCCCATCCCAGGTTCCACTGGAGGGGGTTCCTGTACCGCAGGTTGATGTCCCTCAGGGGTCTGGACTTTACTAGTGGTTTCATCCCCAAACGACTGTTCCGGGATGGACATCAGGCATTGACCAGCTGCCACCGTGATGACAGTGGAGCTAGCAGCCTGGTTCGATTTTTGAGCTTGTGTCGTGTTTCCATGAGATAAGGCGTTCTTTTGTTTCTTTGATTTGATCTTGGAACTAGAAGGTCGTTCTGTTGACGTTGCAGACATTTCGTTGCGACGAGTCCGTTCAGTGATGGGAGAGCTTGGTATAATGTAAGACTTGGGTCAGAAGAGGTCTTAAGGTAGGGTTTGGTATATGAAGGTTTATGTTGTAGCGTGCTAGGAGCAGGCTGGAGCTCGAAGGGAGCTACGGGAACCGCAACCGAGGACAGGAATGACCTA